CCCCCCCCACACCAACAACAAAGACCGAAGCGGGACAAACCTGCGACCCCCCACCGCCACTAGGTGATGGAGCTGATCAAAGGAGCCCAGAGAGATTGGTCTAATGTGGCGGCAGAAGCTGTATCAAGACTATATCTCATAATTTCGGCTTTTTATCTCGTAATTATGACTTTCTATCTCATAATTTCGGCTTTTTATCTCGTAATTATGACTTTCTATCTCATAATTTCGATTTTTTTTATCTCGTAATTATGACTTTGTATCTCGTAATTATGACTTTGCATCTCATAATTTCGACTTTTTATCTCGTAATTATGACTTTCTATCTCGTAATTATGACTTTGCATCTCATAATTTCGACTTTTTATCTCGTAATTATGACTTCCTATCTCGTAATTTCGATTTTTTTATCTCGTAATTACGACTTTCCATCTCGTTATTTCGACTTTCTATTTCATTTTTTTTTCTTTTACTGGCGGAAATGGGCTTCCATACAAAATGAATTGCCATTTGAATTTTTGTGCTTATAATCTTATATTTTGGTATGTGTCCCCCAAAGGATTATTTATGTTGCCAGTGTAAATATTTTGTTTGAGTTTGTGTAGTTATGGCTTATGTAGAATGAGTATCTGCGTTTCTTGATTGCCTGAAAGCATAAAGAGAGCAATAAACACACTTAATCAAATAAACATAAAATTTTCATCAGCAGAGGAAGCGCCACCTGGTGGATAATTATAGAATTTCAAATGTAAGAAGTCAGTTGTGTCACCATTAATGCAAGATCCACTGGGAAGTTTAGAAAAGCAAGAACAAGTTGTTACAGGAAAACTGGGATCCATTCTGCAGAACTGCATCTAAACACTGCCAAACATACTCTGAGTGTTATCTTGTTTGACTGATGTTTCTCAGGTTTCACAGAAGAAGCTGTTACTTGTACTGTCCTCAGTCTGCTGAGTATCCTGATGTTGTTTATTATGGATCCAAAACAATCATGTCCAGGTATGTTTACTTATTCTGATATGCTTCATTCTGTTTCCAGTATACACCTTGAAACGAAGGTGGCCATTTGAAAAAAATCTATAATAAATATACAGTATTAACTTTTATAATTATTGTATAATACTTTTTCCATGAGGTGTTTTCATATGATTGCCGGTTCTCCTGCAGCCCAGTTGTTAGTATCAGGTATCTATATGATATATGTATGACATAATATCAAGGGTCCATGTTGTGATTTGTCAGACCTCTGAAACACTAAATTTGGATTAAAATTTATGGAAGATACTGATCAAGAAACAATCGTTTGTGTTTAAAGGAATCTGTCTAGGGGGAGATCAGAAAATTATGAGACACCAAACAGAAAAGCACAGGATGAGCAAATCCTCAATGTGCACAAAGTTACAAACACAAAGTAAGAGGGAAGCACAGGGTGAGTAAATCCTCATTGTGCACATGAGTTACAAACACAAAGTGAGAGAGAAGAGCAGGGTGAGTAAATCCTCAATGTGCACAAAGTTATGTAACACATCTAAATGGTTCCCAGTAATTAGGGGTCACTGAGATTACCTAATGTGTTTCATTTTTATAGGTCTGTTATGGAGAATTAGACCTCTTCTTTGGACAATAATAAGCACCACCATCATCATTGTTCTATTCACAGGTAAGTTTAAATATCATTAATGTATATGAAACATTAGCAGTAAATCAGGAGAAAGTAGCAGTTTCTAGCAAAATATTAAACACACTGTCAGGGCTGCCAGCTTTGAGGAATTTGTTGGAGTGAGATTTGGAGTGAGGTGGAGTTTGGGGGGTGGGGGGGAGGCATTAGCTAAAAACATAAAATGGTAAGTGTCACGATCAGCAAGAAGGCGAGCAGGGAAGCAGGGGAGAGGAGCCAGGAAGTCGGGTCAAACGGGGATTTATTTAAGG